TCAAAATGCTTGTCCAAGGCATTAGAAGAGAAAGGACTGTAAGACAATTCTGGAAAGATCAGTTCTTTAAGCCAACATTCAGGTAGATAATTTTTGCTGGACCTCATATATTGGTGTGAAATGACCACAAACAGGAGGTCAACCTCTGTCTGCCTGGAAAAGCTGGTTCTTTGCCTACTGTCACGGAATCAAATTCCAACAAAGCCCCCAGCAGTGCCAAGGAGCTGACAGACTCTCAGCTCACCCTTCTCACTCTGCAACAGAGCCACAGACTTTCTTGATGCAATCAAAACCTCAATCAGCTCAGCAAATTTTTCCTACTCTATTCACCTTAAAAGGAGCTTTTGGACTAATCGTGACATGGCTAGACAGACATTAGGGTCTTGAATTATTGGGAGAAAAACTTAACTAGTGGGGAAAATGCAAAACGACAACTAAAAGGAAGAAAATGCTATAGAAAAGAGCTACTGGAGTGACTCCCAAGGCTCTGGTTTGAAGAAGCAGGACCAGCAGAGATGTGAATTGCAGCTTAAAACATCCTTGCATTTACTGAAGTTAAAGGTGACAGCGTGGTCCGAATTAATTAACTGCCTGGTAAACAATCATTCTTTCTGTCAAGCACCACAATGGGGAGAATGGCAAAGATTTTGAAGGCAATACAAGTGGTAGTGGTCATAACAAAGGTAATGAAAGTGAAGAACACAACGATGCAGATTAAATGGAGAGTAATGCCAACGAAGATGTTTCAACTGCCAGAGATGCTGGCAACAAGAAGAATGGTTATGGTTGGTGTTGATGATGGCCAGAATTCATTCATATGTCCATGTAGTCATCATCTTCATCAGTATCACTTTCCAGTGAGGACTCCTGGCTTGAGGTCTCTAAGATTTCCAAAGCTGGCTGACAAAGGCTCTCCTTCTTTACATTCGCTGCAGACTGAGCAGACAAAATAGCAGACTGATCCCAAAAAGAGAGAGAGAGAATATATTGCTAAATAGTCAGGATAAACCCATGATCACAGGGATAAAAGCCACCTGGTTGCTATTCCTTCACATTCAATAGCTCTCTTACTTCTACAAAAGATACGGCATCCTAATGTGAAACAACATAACATTTACCAGTAGGCTTCCCCACAGTTAATATTCTGGTAGCTTCCACCTAAGAATTGCAATGGCTGCACTAACTTCCTCACCCATTCTTGTAATTCTTTCCATTTCCCTCAGAAAAGGGTTAAGACTAGGATAGCTATGATTTCACCCATGGTCAGTATTTCACCAGTCCTTTAAAACTGGCTCCTGCTGATAACAGCTAGCATCTTTCTTCAACTACTTATTCTATCTCTGGTTATGAACTGGGGACAAGAATTGCTGCTTCTTTCATACAAATATTTTATTGAGGGGAGAATTAAGATAAAAACAATAATCTAAAAAAATACTGTTTCCTTTTTATTACCTTTAATTTTTGCTTGGTCTCTTCTGAAATGCTGCCCTTTGGAGAAAGGAGGGTGGGAGTGGGTGGAGTGACAGTGATCTCAGGTGGAAATTTGGTAACAGATGAAGGTATGAAAAGCTTTGGCATGTTGGGCAGAATGCGACTTTTTACTCGGGTGCCATCTGTCTTGTTCTGCTGACTTCCCAAAGTCTGTGAACTGGAGCTGAGTTCAGGCTTGGAACTGGAGGCTAAACAGAAAATAGTACGAAAAAACATGTTAGGAAGCTATCTAGGATTTCAGATGTCAAAGAGGAGGGAACAGTTCGATGTCAGACATATGGCTGGCTACAAAGGCCTTTCTTCAAGCCTTGCTTTAATTAAGGCTCAGAAACAGAGAAGAAAGTGCCTCAAGATTCTGTAATGACAACTGGAAACCAGTAATTTTAAAAAAATCTTACCGGACAGCACAAACTCAGTCTGATCAAGCATGACAAATGGCAGTGTAGCACTGACCCATCTACATCTAGTTAGAACAGTACTACAAACACTGTCTTCCCACTTGTTCTTTCAGATGGAATCGTCTTATCTTTGCATTATCTAACTGCCTCTCCATTCTGTAATGCAACAAATAAAGCTACTTAGCTTTATTTATGAGTCTTAATTTCCTCCACCATAGCGTTTCCTCTTTAATTACTGAGATAACTCTTCAACAATTTAAGAAAAATATACAGTAACACCCATCAAAACTTCCTCATTACTCTCTTCAAACCTTGTCATAAACCCCTCCTTGGTGTGCTCATGCCACTGTCTGTCACACTAGTTCGCATCATTTCTACATACTTCCCAAGCCTGTGGTCTTTACAGTGCAAACTTGCTCAGACAGGGCTCACCTCATGAAGTAACGAGGGACCTGGCCCTTCCTTAGGCACTATCACAATACAAAGTAATATATATGCAACAATAACCAGTAGAAGACAATGCTTTCACATTAAAAGCAGAATTTGTTAAAAGAGATTTCTTGCTAATAATTCTGGAGTCAAAAATATTTTTTTTTTAGAGTTATATGAATGAAAACACCAGAGTCTATTTCAGACTGATAATAATGACAGGTGTTCATATAAATTTTTTCAGATTCAGTCTTGTCAAATCCATCTCTTGCAGATTTTTGGAACTGACATGGCCATTTAAACACAGCGAAACAAAATGCCAGCTTCCTGATGCTATCCTGAAAAACCATCAGCAGTAGAACTAACTACTAAGGGATGTAAAATTGAACTGTATGTTCTCAACTGTACATAAGAATATAAGAACTGCCACAGCAGATAAGACATGGCTTACCAGCAAGGTCAGTGACCCATATCCATGGCCAGTCAGTCATTTCAGAGTAGAGTACCAGAAATGTTGCAGTAATCAGACACAGGAAAATCTGCCTCTCACAAAACAATATACTGCAAACATGAATATCGAGATTATGCCTGCCTGAAATACTAATTTTTACATTTTTTTTCAATTAAAACACCAACACCTACTTCTCTTGGGAAAGGGGCAGAGAAGGTATAGAAATCATTAACTGCTAAAATGCTGGGTTTTATATTTACTTAAACCGAGTGAGTCAGGTTTGTGAAAAACCATTTCCTTCTGCTAAATATTCCAACAGTGTACTCCAAAGTATTGTCAAATTGCCCTGTGTAAGATTTCAATTAAAAGAAAGATTCTACTTCAAAGGATGCACCAACTATGTATCATGATAGCCTGGTACTGGGAGGATTTTTATTTGGCTTTGCTGCCGTGGTATTTAGCATGTGAGTCATGCACCAAAACCAAAAACCATTAAGGGACAACAAGGCACGTTCCCAGGGAGCTGGGACATTGCCAGGAATGCCTCTAAACTCTGGAATACTTGACTGCAAGGCAGGCAGAGAAACTGAGGAATATGCATCACAACTATCCCAACCGATCAATCCCTACAGACTGATCCACAGCTAACCACTCATTTTCAGAATTCTTTGAAGCGTAGAAAGCTCCTACCTTGGGTACAAACATGTCCTGAATTTGTGCTGGTCACCGATTCCACTTGCCAGCAAACAGGCTCTGGTGATGGTGCAACAGTAGCCATTTTCATCTGCTGACAAAGCCGTGACTCCTGTTGCTGAAATTCAAGCCCCTCCAAAGGCACTTCAAGCTCTTCTTCCTCTTTATTAACGAAATATAATTCACAAATTAAGAGACATTCTGATCTCTCTCCTAAGCCTCAATCCTTTCACTGTTTAACCAACTAGTAGAGATTGTTTTTAACCCTTGCTCTATTTCTAAACCGTAACATGACTGAGTGAAATTAAATATTGGCAAGCTAAGATAGCAATACCAACTTTTTCATACTTGGTGTCATCAATTCAAACTCTTAAAAAACGCAAATGTCATTTAAAAAGTGAAAGAAAAAATCTGTATGACATTTTGTTATCCCTGCACATCTGCAAGAAAAACACGTGCAACATCACCTTTAATGATGAGGCCCCTGTGATCGATGGGTCCCTCTCTGATCTGCAACCACAGGTACATGCTACACTGAAGTGCAGCTTACTGCTAAGTAAGATTAATTACTGTGAACATCCAGTAACAGGGATAAATCTGTTTATTATGAAACTAATATCAGGTTATACTAAATGCCCACTTTTCACTGATGTGTCCACTGTACCTGTATAAATACATTACTCTAAAATTCCCACCTTCTGCTATTCCAGAACTTGGGATGCTTGTAACTCAGAATCTGTGAATGTGTGTGTACAATCTCTTTATTACCAGCCGTATCTGCTTTTAAATTAATGCCCTGTAAAACCAGTTTTCTTACACACTGGGCTGCATATTGTACATAACAGGAGTAATTTTCACTGAACTACTGAGAGCTACTGGTGCCCTTTCTGGGAAGGGCAGACTGAAACAGCAGCTAGCCTTTCCAGACTATGGACATACGAACAAGCTCTTGTTCTCTGATAAAAATGAAGATATCCTTCAAAAACAAAGGGCTGTCTAGTCTAATTTGAATCATCTTCTATTTACACAGGCTAAGGTGTGCCCAGGCAGCTATCACAACCAGCAGATGCAATGTCTATTCGCAGTCTAACTTGCTCTAAGATTCTTTATATGTCCATGCTCTAAATTAATTTACAATTTTGACAGTATGATGTCTTAAAAAGGAATATATATTTCAACTTTTCCTCATTGGAAAAATACTCCCACCCCCTCAAGTGTTGAAAACGCTTCTCCATCTTCATCAGTGTAGATAAGAACTTGGAATTTACCATGGTAATATTCTCCTGTACGAGAGCTCCCCTTGCAGAAAATGCTTGAGACAACATTAGAGCTTAACAGCTTGGTAAAAGTCAGATCAATGCAGTTTGAAAGATGCGACTTTTTTAATGAATTAGATTTTCTAGGGTTCTTCAATAATTTGTACAAAAAAAGGCTTACCAAAGCAGGCTGTAAGTTCTTTCATCCACTAATTTTCATTGGTAAAGAAAAGAACCCATCATCTAAACTTCTAGCTGATAGCCAATATAAGCCTTAGGATAAATGAGTTTGCTTGTAGAAAATTCTCCAATAGTTCCCAAAAAGGAAAGGTCACACTACAGCACAAATCACAGGCAGCTTCTGTTCTGTGATGTTCCACTCACTATCAAGCACAAAATGGAAAGGTCTAATGCAGAAGAATGTAGTTCTCATTCTCAGCACTCTCTTGCACATTTCTCTATGGATACTTCAAAATACAGCATTGGAAGTAGGAAAATAATAGTTGCAGCTATACATATATTGTATTAATAGACCAAATCAGCTAAAAACAACACAGAAAGAAGTACTTAAACTACAGGAATCTTGACTAGGAAGGTCATAATTCATTGTTTCCCTGTTTAAGCAGCAGAGGATAGCTGAAGCATCATTTTGTGTATGTGCTTGCTCTTTATACCAGATACACATATGATTTAACCACATACTGACAATGTACAGGAGACTGTACAAAGAAGGATCAGCCCTAACGTGGCCTGAAGCCAATATACACACATCCCAGTACACTGCTAGTGTCTGACGATAAGCTCTACTCGGAACCCGGAAGACTCACACACTGAAATAGCTACAAGACACTTCATCAAAAGATAGAAAGAAACATTGCATCAACATTTGAAGAAAAGCAAGATGAAAACAATGATTTCAGAAGACTACCTTACAAGACAACTAAGAAATCAACTCCTTTTTAACTTACTCCAACACTCCAAACTCACAGTCTTAAGTACCTAGGGTAAGTACTAACTGAACCTTTCTTATCCACTTATTCACCAAGAATACAAAACCAGTAATTAATTTAGCAGATAAAATTGTATACACAAATAAACTGCAAATCCTACAGCCTCAACTATACTGCTAACTGAGAACAGTTTTGCATGTACTCAATTGCTAAATTACATTAGGGACTTATTAGTTCACCATTCAGAATAAAAGCTCTATTTTCCATTATTGTTTAATGACAAAACTCTATGTCTTATGCTCATTATAATCTTTGTTTAATTATAAGAGGTATCATTGCTTAAGCTGATTTGCTGTGCTTTATTGTAACTAAATTATGACAAAAGCTCTTTTGAGCAGCCTGTTTCTAGGAAGATGCTACAAGACCCCTATCAGTCTATGTTCTTCACTGAGCAATCAGCATACTCATAAGCATCTCCATCTTCTGTATCATATTTGGTTTTAGTAGCTTCAAAGATCCAGTTTTAGAGTGTAGTAAAATTACATTTAATTTGAATAAAATGACGTGTCAGCCCTTTTTCATGTAGAAGTGAATGGAAATGAAAGGACAGGAGCCTGGCACACTAAGTGTGTATTTCTATCAATGCACTTCGGGAAACAACACTTATTAATATTCTATTAGGCTGCGTCTTTCAGTACATGAGAAATCAAGAATCACTGTCTGTTAATCAATCCCTTGCTGTCAGAGTTGTTAAATGCACAGTGACTGAATTCAATCCCCTGATTGGGTCATACACTTTATTCTTTTAGGACTGTGTAATTTTTTAATTTTTTTAATAGTCACTTGAGCAGCATTATTTCTAAATTAAAAATCAAGTTAATGAACAAAGTATTTTTTTAAATTCTTGAAAATGGCAAGAATTAGTTGTTTCAGGTGTATATATCATAATTTATACTATACTTTAATACAGTGCACAGATATTTATTATATCTTTTTTCATTACAGACAAAAAGGGCAAAAGAGAGAAGGATAATCAAGAAGCAACACACAATCAGATCTCTATTATTTATCTAAAACAGATTTCTGAAGAGAATATCTTGATATTTGTCTTGTGGAAAAGGTTGTTATAGCCCTGAACATAATGTCCTAGTTTTTCTAATAAAAACTTTCCCCAGGGAGGTAAAGACTCCACTAACTCATGAGCCACAACATCCTGCACCAGTGCAAGAGCACAAGAATATAAGTACAGCACATTCTGAAGGTGTTCAGTAGCTCAGATTTATTATCAGTTAACAAATGTTTTGGTAATAGCCAGTACTTGTACTGTTCTGGCAGGTTTTCAAACATTAGCTCTACAAACACAGTTTAAAATAAAATCAGTTTCTGAAGATGTAATATGCAACAGTCACTTGTCTCCAGGCTGAAGACGGGACAGGTACTGTACTCTGGAGATCCGTTTAGCACTCTCACAACACAACACACAAAAATGAAACACATAAGAAAAACCCACAGATTTGCAATGCATGTTACATTGAAAAGTTCATCTCCAATTGAGCTGAATTACAAGCATTTTTTTTTTAGCCTTCCCTTTCCCAACAACTGCCTAAATACATATAAAAATAGTATACACATAGAAAGAGGGACATCATACCTTTCAACATCTCCCTGCTTTAGCGAGGAAGAAACAAGCTGAAAACAATTCAATGCAACAACCTACTCCAGCTTTCCTCTCCAACCTCTTTCCACTTGTTGCCAGGGTAACCAGTGTTTGCAGATGCCTATAGCGGGCGCCTGGGTTCATGACTTCATCACAGTTAATATTCTCTCTCTCGGTCTCTCTTTATAGAGGGAATATGCTATATACATATATCCACACACTATAAACATATAGATTATACAACTCCTGCAACCATTTTTATACTGAGACAATTTACTTTGCTATTCTGATGTGTAGAAAATGAAAAATAACACCATCAAAAGCATTCTCTGGCCAATTTGCAGATGCAGAGAAAGTTTAAAAGCAATAGTACTGTAACCAGTAAACAGCTGCTCTGGTCTCTCTGCACTGTACGATTAATCATATGATTTCATCATGCTGTCAGGTATAAAAGACATTAACATTACAGTGTTATAAAACATTTAATGTGGAATTTCAAAAAATCCTTTAGTCATGCACTAAACCTATTAAATGACAAGCCCAGAAAGTGTGACTAGCACTTGGAAAAAATGTTTTCCAGTTTCTGATGGAAGCAGTTTGAAATATTATAGCATAGGTATGTTAAAGGATACAAGCAACTTACAGTGTATGCACAAAACATCATTTCATTATAGGAAAAAGGAAGGAGTTGAGCTTTGAACTCAGGACACAATACTAACATGACTTCAAAAGTGAATGCTTGGAGAAATGAAGAGACAACAGCTTCAAGTGCCTAAACAAAGCACTTCCACCGCTTCCCTTCATCCCTCTGCAAAACACCTTCCCCAGCAGTTCTGTGTGTCAAGACAAAAACCTTAAAATACATTACTACGATTTAGCAAATCTGTACTACCTTGTCTTCCAACCACTTCAAAAGAGTAAGGACTGAATTCTGTGTGCCTACAGACGCCAGGAAATACTTAATTTTACTAGTCTCAGTAACAATTGGTTTATTTGTATTTTAATGGCTACTGACAGTACATGCAAATTGTTCACAGAACTGACTGTTACTTATTTACCATATGAGGTAGATTTTATTATTACAAATTTTTTTCATGGTGATGGAAACGGGTCTGATCCTTTGCTCCCTGACACAGTGGAGTAAATACCTTATCACATTTCCAAAGAACAGCGCTAATGTAAAAACAATTATTTTTCTGTATTCCATCTGCCTCACCCTCCGGAGCGCTGGGAATTAATACAGCTTTTTTCCCTGTACAGCAGTTGCAAAGGCCATGGAAAGCTTGAATTTGAAGGAGC